AGGAGAGGGGGAGGAGGAGGAGGAGGAGAGGAGGAGGATGAGGAGAGGAGGAGGAGGAGAGGAGGAGGAGGAAGGAGTTTGAGGGGAAGGTGAGGGAGAGAGGGAGGAGGATGAGGGGGAGGAGGAGGGGGGAGGAGGAGGAGGAGGAGGAGGAGGAGGAAGGAGGAGGAGGAGGAGGAGTAGGAGGAGGAGGAGGAGGAGGAGGAGGAGGAGGATGAGGAGGGAGGTAGGAGGAGGAGGAGGAGGGAGGAGGAGGAGAGAGGAGGAGGGAGGAGGATGGAGGACGAGGAGGAGGAGGAGAAGAGGTAGGGGAGGAGGAAGGCGGGTAGGAGGATGAGGAGGAGGGGAGTGAGGCAGGGGAGGGAGGAGGGGGAGGAGGGGGGGGGAGGAGGGTGAGGGAGGAGGAGGAGGAGGAGGAGGAGGAGGAGGAGGAGGACATTTTGACATTCGCTTCGGGGCTGAACTAAAGCTCAAGCACGTTCCGCGGACAGCAACTGACCCCCAGTCCAAGCCTGGGGCGTTGCCAGTTCCGAGTCGGCGCCAAGAACCCTACCCCAGGAAAAGGAGAGGAGGAGAAGGACATGCATGAAACACAACTAGCCCGGGTTAAACGCTGCCCACCTTCTAATGGGCCGTTCCCAGGCCAGAACTGAAACAATGCAGAACTTCCCCAGAACGGGGCAGAGAATCCCATCCCCCCCACACAGTGACCCCCTCCCCAGACAAGAGCAATCCCTGAACGCCAACTTGCAGGTTCGGACTTTCGAGCATGGTGAGACCATGGCAAGACCCGCCAGGGAAGGCCACTTGCTTTCGCCTGTGACCTGGCTGCCAATTCCTTGAACTGTCTGGAGGGAGGAAGGAGGGAGGGGGGAAAAGAAGGACAAGGGAAGGGAAGGAGATCAAGACTGCAAAGCACAGGGGTAAACTTACTTCCCACACACTAGTGGGAGTCCCCTAGCAGAGCGAGACCACCGTTCCCCAAAGGGAAGAGAGAATACTAGGGGATTACTTCGCCAGACTTTCCTGGACCCCTGAGGTAAAATAAACTGGGCTGAATACAGCTGCCCAACTAGCGCATGAAGAGGAAACTGCAGGTAAGCT